ACACACACACACACACAGAGAGAGAGAGAGAGAGAGAGAGAGAGAGAGAGAGAGAGAGAGAGAGAGAGAGAGAGAGAGAGAGAGAGAGCTCGTCAACGCTATAAGATGCATGGATATGCCTATGGAATGTTGGAAATCGCCTACTCCCGCCAACGAATGAGCAGCGCATCCCTTTTCAGAAATATCATGGCAACAATGTTTAGAGAATCGCCTACGTCCTCCCTTCCGAGCAGGATCTCGTCAACAAACAAAAACAACCAATCAAGAGGGGGTCAATCAATAAAAACTAGCAAAAAAAGAAGTTGAGTGATCCTTGTGTAATCCCTTAGACACTTGAGTGTTCGGAAAACTGCGGTGGTTGTCAGGAGGTGTTCAGTGATCTTGAAAGGAGGCCAGAATTGCCGATATAGCATAGTCTTCTACAGGTTTTCATGCTAATCATATGAGGGATGCTGAGCCCGGTTCTCAGCATGTTCGGTCCAGTCACTCCGGGTAGACTGTGAGGACCCCGGCCTCAAGCTTCTTGTTGATAATATCAGCCTTGGGCACTGGGCCCGTTTAAAAAAAAAAAAAAAAAAAAAAAAAAAAAAAACAATGAAGATGTTGAGTGTGCACAGTATCTTGCATTGAGCCTCACTGCTCGACACCATGGGCACACACACAGGCGTTGAGAGATCGCACACAATGCACACTGGAGTCCAGAGATGCAAAAGTCCAGATATGCGCAGCTTAGAAATTCCAACAAATTATCACATTAAACAGTTCCGGAGATCCAGTCACCAAGCGCTCAACAGCGCGGAATTCATCAACCCAAAGTGAGATTAACCAATCGAAATGAGGTTATTGCATGCATTCCGGGAGAAGGCCATAATTTACAAGAGCACTCTCTTGTTATGGTAATACCAGCACCCTCATCTAAGGTAGGTGATTCTCTTCTCTCTCTCTCTCTCTCTCTCTCTCTCTCCCCCTCTCTACTTGAGAATCTTGACTCGGAATACATCCGCTGCTACTCAGCTGACTCGGAATACATCCGCTGCTACTCAGCTCTATCCCTACTACTGACTTATGTGGATATGGCTGCCTTCCCTCTCAGTGCAGTGCTGCCCAGCAGGGCTCTCGCACACATGCTACTTGCAGATAGCGCACAAGTGCTTCAGCAGCACTTCCACATTTCTCACGAATGAGCAATCTCCCGGAAATGTGGCAGCCAGTCCTTATGTTGACTTGGACTGAGCCTCGACTCGTCCCAGCCTCTGCTTCCTTTGGTTTGACTTGGACCGCGTACCACATCCCCACGGCCTGCTTGCTTCAGAATGTCAAGGCCTGGTACTTTTCCCATTGGTGTGCTGCTGCTCGAGTCTGTGAGTCACAACTTTTCACCTGTGGAACACAACTTTTGACTGTGGGATGTGACTCTTGCCTCTGGCACACGACTTTTGCCTGGAAAAGTGTCCTTTGCCTGTGGGACTTGACTTTTCAATATGAGACGTGACTTTTGCTTACAGAAGCAACTTCTGCCTTTGGGATGTGACTGTTTACCGGGTGCCTGTTGGACTCGACTCCTAAAGGTGTACCCAACTGTGACCTTTCTGAACTGGCCAACTTGGCCTCCCTTGGCTTGAGACCTTGACCCTGAAATTCGAATTTGGGGTCTGCATCGAGGAATGCCTTTCAATCTTTGCAAGTGCATTCAAATTTCAAATACGCCGCGGGCTGCAGTTGCTCTGGTGTTGAGTGTACGTGTACAGTGTACACCATTTACGTTGGACAAAATGAAATGCGGCCCACGACGTTCTGTAATTTCGAACGTCAGAACTTGGATGCGAGAGAACCTCTGAACCATTGGAACCGAGCCGAGCGTAGAAGTAATTGCTTGCTGATGCTGGTTTTAGTTCACGCCTTTCCGTGCCAGAGGGGTCTGCCAGATTTTCCAATTTTGACTTTCAGAGTTGGCACCTGGACTGTGAACATGTCTTAATTATGGATTGATCAGCAGAGAAGCCAAGCCGTTCTGGAAGAGGCGTAATAGACAAAATGCTGGTCAAGAGTGTCCACCTCATGGAACTGCTATTCCAGTGTGTGTGTTGTGGTTCAGCTGTCCGAAGTTTGGGTGACAGTTGGGCTAGTAGGGCTTATTAGGGGCACAAAAGGCTGCTTTTTCCTTAACAATTGTTCTTGTCTGGGCGTACCAGCTGCACACAGCCTGACTCATCTGTAATTTGTTGCTCGTGCACGAGTTACAGGAACTGGTTAGTGTGGGGCTGATTGGATTCAATTGGGTGAGGAAGATTCAACATCCAAAGCAAAAAGCTTCCTTTTCCTTGACAGTTGACCTTGTTTGGGCTTATCGGCTGTCCACAACCTGACTCAGCTGTGATTTGTTACTTGTGTGTCAGTTATCAGAGCTGGTCAGTGTGGAGAACTACGCTGATTGGATTCGATTGGTTGAGGAGTTCACCATCAAGTCATTGCGGTCTTGGCAGGTGAGATTTTTATTGTACAAAGGGATGGGGGGAGGTTGGGAGTGGAAAGGGGTTTGCTGTGAGTGAGGTCTTGGCAGGTGAGATTTTTATTGTACAAAGGGATGTGGGAGGTTGGGAGTGGAAAGGTGTTTGATGTCAGTGATTGGTTGCATGCATTTGAGTTCCGGTGTTAGTGTTCTGTAGATCAGCTTTTGAAATCTACCATCTTCACCCGAATAGAACGCCCGGTCATTATCGCTGCATCTGGACGGAAAGATGTGCCAAATACACAGCTATAATGACCGGGTGTTCCATCCGGTTGAAGACAGTTGTGATCACCAATCGTCCTCCCGTGAAAACTTGCTCATAACCACACATGCGGCGCAACTTTGCGGTGCAAGGTGGTGGATGAATGATGCGTGTGCAGGCTCAGTTGCTGGGTGCGCCCAGTTTCGCCCTGCTGGGTGGACACACGTGTTTCTCTTTTTGTGTGTGCCTGTCTCGGAGAGAGAGAGAGAGAGAGAGAGAGAGAGAGAGAGAGAGAGAGAGAGGTTCAAAGGGCTTCAGAACTCGATAACCAGATGGGGACTTGTGTCCCGGAAGGTATGTTGGCTGCCTTTCAGTCCCGATACAGTCATGATGAGGGTGCGAGGTGTCAGGAAATAAAAGATAAGCTCCACCCTCATCATACTGTATTGGACCTGCAACGACCTCAGGATACATTAGAGGACACATGCACCCTTGGAGTCGGTAGTTCATGATATCGTGGCCCGCTCCACCACACACCGCTTGCACATCAGACAGAAGTTATGGCGGCTTGTTTTTCCATGTTCTAGTGGAAGATTCATTCTCATTTGCACATTTGGTGAGTGGCGAAGCCAGGCCCTCCGTTGGGCTGTGTCCTGGAATGTTTCAAGCTGCGTTCCGGATCCGGTACAGTCATGATGTGGGTGCATGGTTTCGGGAAACGATAGAACATCTCGACCCTCATCATGACTTTATCAGATCCCGAATGCAGTCATGTGTGGGAAAATGGAATGCTACAGAGGAGATTGAAAACGAAAACATGCAAAAATAAATAAAATAAATAAATAAAAGGGAAGTAAAATAAAGCAGCACGCATTTTCACCGTTACTGTGGGCATCGCCACACCACTTTAGAAATGTGCAAATGAGAATGAACTTCCCGCTAGAACATGGCCAGAGGCGAACAGGATAGATAGATCCAGCCGGGCTCTAACAAAAAACGGCCAAAGGTGTCCCCTCTAATCGTGCTGCACCAGCGAAAAAAAGATGAACCGGCGGGGGTGCAATCTCTTTTTTTTTGGTTCAGCAGCCCGGTCTCCCCGAAAGTTCTGAATGCATACAAAGTTGCAATATCCGCTCATGTTTTTGTCTGGGGCGCATACTGGTGGTTTAAACACCCTATGGGGCGGCAATGTTGGCCGACACCGGGCATTAGCACATTTCCAGGTAGTGTTAGTGTAAAGCCAGAAAGGTCTTGGCATCTGATCTATGAAGCCCGTTTGGAAAAGCAACGGGGACTCGAGGGACTGGCAGAATTACAGCCCTTGTGGGGGTATTCCCTGTCGGACCACATCTACGACCCAGGCCAGCCACTTTGGGACCAGAGGCAGTGGACCGCGGGTACGTTGATGTGGAGACGAGGAAAAACATGACTGGTTTTCGACGCGCCTCCAGCATGTTAGGGGATGAGAGGAAGAAAGGAAGATGGAGGGGGGGAAGCGTGCCAAAATCTGATCCTCTGGAAATCAGAAAAAAGAGACGACCTAGCCTAGAGTCGCCCAGAGTCCCAGGCCTATAAATTGTCGCCTTGGTACTTCACATTGTGCAGCCAAATGCTCTACGCCCTAGGGCGACAGGATTGTCCCCAGGGACATGCAAGAGCTGGTATGTTGATGGGGAAGGGCGATAACGATTAATGTGTGCTTTTCCGTGTGCCTGGAACAGCTTGGGGCACGGGAGGAGGAAGCTGTTGAAGGAGAGAAAACAGGATGATGGAGTGAGGTGGCCTCCCCAAAAGAAGTGGAAAGTGAGAAGGTCAGCAAGATACGACTTCCTTGTAGAGACTTCTATGTCAGTCAATGATCCGTTGTTGGTTTAGATGTAATCAGGTATGCCTATCCGTTGCGCGACCAACAAAATGATCTTGATGCTCGACATGAGCCAACAAAATGTGTGCAGACTCCTGCAGAGTATCCCCTAGGAAATATCCCCTAGGAAAGACATTCCTTACAAATACACATGTATAGTCAATGCCCACCCGCTAGGAAGTGTACTAGTGAACCTCCTCTAAGAAGGTGGATCAAGTGAGCTGCGATTAAAAGCAAAGTGGCTTGCAGAACACTTCCCCACTTCTTTGGAAGTCTTCAAGTGTTAGCACACTCTTCGAAAGCAAATCATTGGTATTCCAATGGGAACAAATGCTGGCCCATAAATTTCCAATCTAACGCTCTATTGGGATGAAGCACGCTTTATTGATGACATTCGTCAACATGATCCCCAAGCTGCTCAGCGATA